TTCTAAACATATGTTTAAGAAAAAGAGTTATAAATTAATAAAATATTAATTAAATTGTGTAACACTACAACATAATATTGTCTGATAATAACTATATCCTTTGTATTATTATTTTATTTTCTTTAATTTTTCTTTTTTGTAAAACAAGTATATGCATGACACCTATTAATTAATTAATCTACACACACAAGCTGCTTGTTATGAACTGGTCATGACTAAGCTAGCTAAAGAAAAAAACCATGTCTTGTTCAAATATTTTTCAGGTCTCACTGGCCAGAGCCAAGTAGCTGCTTTTAGAAACTTTAAAAGCAAAGAGAATGTATTAAACATAGAATACTAAAGCACTCTAACCCATAATATATAAGATCAAGCACAAATTAAGAACTTAAAAACGTGTATGTAATAATTTATGCAAATCTCAAAATCAATCTTTATTTTCTTATAAAATTTTAAAAACACAGTTCTCACAGCACTTTAATATATATTAAAAAGTAAAAAATTCTTTAAGTTGTAATTGCAAATTTTATAATTTGTATTTGACCAACAAGACACATTTGCTTAGCACCACCCTTAATTCGCCAAGCTGCAGTCTAAACTGCTTTTATTGGTGCCCCTTACGCCTTTAATACTCGAACCAGATTGGAGCTAGTTATCATTGGAGAAGAGTTACTGCAAGCCCCAAACATTTTTCTCGTGGGCACCCTCCGATATGATGACTTATCTTAGTGGACTGTTTGATTAAAGGACCAATATTATTAGAAAAAATTTTATTGAGAAAAGTTATTAGAAAAATATTATATGAAAAATTGATAAATTTTGTAATAGGATTTTGTTGAATTATTAATTGTTTGTATTTAGGAAAAAATCAGTATGAAGAAAGTTGGTAAAAAAGTAGTTAAGTAAGTTTTACATAGGAAATATTGAGGGAAATTCTTTTTTCCCATAACAAAATAAAAGTTAGCAAAACTCCTAAATATATCTCTCAAATAAGAGGATAAGCAAAAATCACTCCTAAAAAAAGTAAAAATAAATTACCTCTTCAAATTATTGATTAAAACAAATAACTTATTATTTAAGATGTGATATCACTACATATCAACTTTTCATTAAATAATGCTTCAATGGCAAACAGATTTGTTTTATGTGATTGTTGGGAATGAGCCCAACACTAAACTTGAGCCATGTACAGTAGGTCCAATTGTTTATCCCTAAGCCCAAAATGGAGATGCATCCATGCATTGGTTTAGATATACCCACGTGAACTAATCAGATGCTCACACGTATAACCTTATGTCATCACACAGGACTATAAATATCTCCATGTACCTCCACTCAAGATAATAACTCTACTACACTTCTCTCTTTACAATTACTCTTGAGAGTTTCTTTCTTTAGAATATTGAATATTGCTAACTTGAGTATCAAAGTATTTTCCTCGAAAAAACATCTTTGGGCTTTTCAGGTGTTGAAGCAATTGAAGATCCCTAATATAGGTTTGTAAAGCTGCCCAAATAGTGATGACGTTATATATTAAATAATAGATAATTTATCTTAATTAATAATTAGAATGAACAACTTATCTTGTCTTTTTTTTTAGGGACAAATTTATTTCTATCCACTTATTTAAAGGGCAAATTTGAGAGTTTTGCGCAAATATTTACATGATTGAGATACAATTATTATACAATT